CATCCAGCCAACCGTGGCCGACAGAGGCGGATAAGAAAGCAGCTCGGCAAAGCAAAGCCCCGTCACCCACCTCTTCGTCCTTCCCCAACCCGCGAGTCTCGAACGACCGCGTCTCCGATCTGTCTGCTTCACCACGGCCGTCGCTTGACGGACTCCGACCTACCAACTTGGATGTGGAGGAGCCTGCTCGATCTCGGTCAGCCAACAGCCGCTCCCGGCCTGTTTCTGTCCACGCTAGCGCACGTTTCGAGCTGCCTCGCGGTTCAGAGAGCGCGCGCTCCTCCCTTGACCTGCCACGCAGCCCGTATGAAGGCGGCGCACCGCTGCAACACGCGCGCACCGAAACGGACCAGCCGTACGACCGCAACATCTCGTCGGACGTGGACTATCTGCGCGCACGCGAAGAGGAGAGCAGCCGGAAGCGCGAGAAGCGGTACAGCGGCACGTCCAAGCACACGAAACGTTCGAGCTTGTCGACGCTGTCTCTGTCGGGCACAAAGACGCTGTTTGCGGGACGATTTGGCGATGCGTTCCGGCGGTTCGAACATAGTAACCAAGAAAGCAAGGCGCAGTCTCCCGTGGCGGAAGAGTTCCCCAAACCCGTGCTGCCTTCGGCGGAGGTGACGGCAGAGCCGGCCAGCGATCTGATCGAGATGGACAGTGAGGACATTTCGCCGGAGATGCGGCGGGAGCTGGAGCGGCGGCGGCTCTCCCAGGAGGAGAAGCGTGTAGCCAAGGCGGCGGAGGAGTACCGTCGGCGGGTGGCCGAGGGTGGAGCGGGCGGCTTCAAGGGCGGCGACGGGTCCCGGTCGCAGGCGATCCAGAGCAAGGTGCAGTCGCTGCTGAGCGAGTCGAACCGGCCACCGGTTCCGCCCAAGACGGCGACGGGCTACGGGCGATACACGGACGAGTCAAGCGCCGCTTTGCAGGCAAAGCCCACGGAGGCCCGTCCGGACACGCGGGGATCGCGGGTCAGCGGCACGACAGCGTCATCGACGCAGGAGCGATACGAATCGCGCGGAATGCCCCGACAGGAGACGGCATCGACGGGATATGCGGCCTCTCAGCGCACCGGGTCGTCGCGACCGGCCCTGCCACCCAAGCCCAAGGGGCTCCGAGTGGGGGATATCGAGACGCGGACGGAGAGCCAGCCGGCTAGTCCAACGGTGAGCTCGGCAACGACGGCAGGCGATGACTGGGAAGCCAACTTTAGTCGGCGATTTCCAAGCCTATCGGGGTTAGAGATGGAGACGGAGATCGAAATGGCGCGGGTGCCGCTGCGGACGCGCGAGATATAGCCGAGTCAGATGTGAGGGTTGAATATAGATAGAGCGTAATCTGGTATACATAGGTAGACTTGTATCAGCGAGCGAGCATTGCATTGAATCATAGTTTCTATGAGTATACACTGTTAAACAGCCGACGGCTTTCCATCTTAACAATAGGTTTAAGTTAGCGCCGCTTTTCGCTCTGGGAGCAGCTAGGATTGTGCATGAGCGTGTCGGTGCGTGCTGATTACTCATGGACTGTGAGAAGACTACTAAGAGAACATGTGGAAAGGTTACAATGTATAAAAGAAGCCTTTGCATTTGCATAACAGTATAGGGAAACCTAATTTAATAGGCAAAACCTAAACCAAGGCGTCTAGAGAACCCTATCCAGATTTAGTGCCTAATCATCCATGACATACTCACAGAGGAATAGTACAGTATAACTCGGAATTTCCAATAAAAGTTCGTTGGTGAACAACCAGCATAATGTAATTCAGAGAAGTCTTACATGATTAAGGGATTGGGCGATACTGCAATATCCGGCAGTTCACGGCAAGACGTTTACTATTGCTAAATCAGTACAACAAGTCAAGTCTTAGACAGTAAGGCTCACTCACAGGGACCACTATCCAGATTCCATCACTGTCAACCTATACTAATCTCAAGTCTTCTCTAAGGGCAAGCAGAGAAGGTTAATCACATACCGCCTATCAAAATTTCATCAGCATCATTCTATAGTAATGTCCAGTCATGTCTTGAGGCACAGGAAGGTCAATCACATACAATCTATTCAAATCACATCACTATCCGCCTATAATTTGAAGTTATATTTCAGGTAAGAAAGGTAAATCACATACAAACTATCCATATTCAAATCACTGTCAGCTTATATCATGTTATTTCTCTCGGTCAGGAAAGGTCACGTCACCCACCTTCAGGTAAGTCCTATCCACGTTCAATCACTGTCAGTTCATATTCTCTGGTTATCTCTCTCTTAGATGGGAAGGGACAATCACATACACACTATTCATATGTCATCATCTCTGTCAGCCTATAATCTCCAGTTATCTTTCAGACAGGAAGAATTAATCACATACAGGCTATTCATATCCCAGTACCGTCAGCCTATAATCTTCAAGTCATCTATCTCTCAAGCACGGAACCAGACGACATACACTCTGTCTCTTCTCAACTGTGTTCTCGTCTTGATCATTAGCTTGCGCGGGCATTGCTACCGCAAAGGTAGTGAAGAGCATTGCATAAAGAACAGTCAATAACTTCATCGTGTCGATGTTCTGTGTTTGTCTGTTGTAAGAATGGGATTTCAAAAGAAAAAGAAAAAGCAGTTGCAAGATAATCGATGATATGATGGTAGTTCATTCATGGAAAGAAAGCAAGATACGGGTACTATGTATATTTAAGCCTTGGTCTTGATAATTGCTTCTTTCTCAGCTTAGATACAGTAGATACTCACGGTGAGTCCTATAGGTATTTTGTTCGCTGATCAATGTATATTGCATAGACTGCATGTGGATTACAGTTTCAGTCTCGACTTCCAATAGGAAATATCACTGAGAAATACTGTATAACTTGACGGTGGTGATTGCTTTGGGTATTTTGTTCACTGATCAAGTTTTCTTGCATAAAATGGTGTCACGTTAAGGTAGCTGATGCATAAATTCAGCCGTGGGCTTTCGCACAGGCTCGCGATCTTCTTCAAAGGCGACTGGAGTGACTGAAATATTTCAATCATATACATTTCATTTGCCATATTGAATCAATATCAGGATAATAGAAGGTTAGACCAGAGAAGGGTATCGTGTCTTTACGCTGATTGTAAATGTTGCGTTGGGTTCTACATGTCCTCACAAGACGTACAGAATCAGCCATATCAATTAAGTACTCAATTATTTCTCGAACAGTTTCATTGGCAGAGTTAGGGACGCGACCATTCAAAGCAAAGTAAGATGTGGTGCATGCTCTTTAAGCAACGAGTGTAAAGCGGCGGGATCCGTAGTTGAGCTGAATGGATGGAGCATCGTATTACCCAAAACGGTTAGTCTACCCCGGACTCGACTCTTCTCTGCTCTCGTCATCATCCAACAAGAATCCGCCTCAGCTCCAAGCTTCACGTTTCAGAGCAGCACATCATGGCTCCCATTCCCCTCAGCACGGTCGACAGTACGTATACCCTGTTTTTCAATCCAACTAAATACTAAAATCTGCCTCAGCCGACCTGAAAGACGTAATCCAACACCTGTTCGAAATCCAATCCGCCGTCCACGGCTACCTCGGTCCCGAAACCCAACAAGAGCTCGTTCGCAAAATGTACCCTCCTTGCTATCCCTGCCATCTTCCTCGCCTGATATTTATAACTCTACTAACGGATTACGTGTTACGTGTATAGAAAAAACCTCACTATCGCGCTCTCCACACTCAGCACACACACCTCCGATAATCACCCCGACGCACAATCCCAATCACCAGGAAACAGCAACGACCCTCCCATCCACAGCATCCAACTTCCCCCGGAGATTATCGATTACGTAGATGCAGCGAGGAATCCGGATATCTACACGAGAGAATTCGTCGAGTTGATTCAGCGCGGGAATCAGGATCTGAAGGGGAAGAAAGAGGCGTTTGGGAGTTTTCGGGATGTGTTGGCGAGGGAGATGAGGGGGGCGATGCCGGAGGTTAGGGGGGAGGTGGATAGAGTGGTTGCTTCGTTTGGTGGTGATGGGAATGGGAATAATAATGGGGAGGGCAGGGGGTGATGGTTAGTTCATTATGATGATGGTGATGATGATGATGGAATAGAGGGATAGAATCATATTGGGATGGAGTTTGGGGGTGGAGTTATTTTTCGCATGCTTTATTTTTGGGGTTAATTAATTATTATGAGTGATTTGTGATTTGTGATGATGGAAGGAATGTGATGATCGGAATCCAATGCCGACTAGACTGAAATTCAAGTCAGCAAGCAAGTAATGAGTTCAGCCTTGTGTGTGGCAGTGGCTGCTGTTGCTGCTGTTACTGCCCCTGGAGTTATTATTATCTCTTCAGACAAGGAGCAGAGGGATAAAAATAACATGATGAATGATTAAAATAAAAATAATGGGGGGAATAATGCACGTGGGGATGCAAGGACTGTTTTTTTCTCCTTTATTCTTCTCCTATATGATTTCATATGGAAGGGGAGTATAGCATAGCAGGTATGCCAACATAACCCTATCTAGTATCCACCTCAGGACGGAGTATCTCAGAGTTTAACACAACATTAACCAAGCTAACAGGTTAAATGCTCAGCTGAACAATAATAATGACAACAGAGAGGACACACTCCCCGCCCAATAAACCAGGCGAAGGGCAACTGCAAATAACAATGCACCGCGTCACGCCGGCCCCCGCCCGTCAGCCGGGCACTGACTGCCTTTCAATGTCCCCAGACGGCAAGGATCTGAGCCCGACGACCTGTCATGATTCTTGATTCATTACATGTCGGGTAATTGCCCGCCTGCCCCGGATCCTGCATCGGCCTCTGCTTCTGTCTGTCTCTGTCTGCCTCTTCCTCTTCTTAGTCGCTCTCTCGTCTAGCCTTACTCTGACTCGCTTAGTCTCGCTTCCTCTCTCTCCTCTTCTTCCTCTTTCTCTACTTCTGCTTCCTCTTCCTCTCTTCTCTACTTCCCTTTTCTTCCTTCCCATCGTATATCGTCTCTCTGCAATGGCATCATGATCACCGGCCCTACCGCCTCCCCCGGCAATGGCGTGGTTGGGCCCTACTCAGGCAACAGCCTGGCCCTGCGCATCGTCATCGCTACCATGGCCGCTCTATCCTGGTATAACGCCATCGAACTGGTCATTCTCGTCTTTGTGACCTTTTCCCAGTTTCGCGGTCCCTACTTCTGGTCTCTTCTGATCTCCGCTCTCGGTCTGATTCCCTACTCGGCCGGCTTTCTGCTCAAATACTTCGCTCTCACGTCCGCTACCGCCCTCTCCATCACCCTCATTACCATCGGCTGGTACGCCATGGTAACCGGCCAATCCGTGGTGCTCTACTCGCGCCTGCATCTCGTCCTCCCCAACCCCAAAGTCCTCCGCCGCGTCCTCACCATGATCATCGTGAACGCTTTCCTCTTACATATCCCCACCTCCGTGCTCACCTACGGCTCCAACCTCTCCTCCCACCCAGCCATCTTCATCTCCGGCTACAACATTATGGAAAAGATCCAAATGACCGGTTTTTGTCTGCAAGAATTCATCCTCTCCGTCCTCTACATCTGGGAAACCATCCGCATGCTCCGCCTCGATCCCGACCGCGGCAAACGCAAAATCATGTACCAGCTCGTCGCCATCAACCTGATCATCATCGCTCTGGATCTGGGACTTCTCGTCATCGAATATCGCGACCTCTACATCCTCGAGACCATGATCAAACCCGTCATCTACAGCGTCAAACTTAAGCTCGAATTCGCCGTCCTTGGTAAACTCGTCCTTCTTGTGCGCAGCACCCACAACCTCACCTGGAAGCCTGATTCGCCGCTCTATGCTGCCACCTCGCCTGTCACTATCCCGCCGCAGATCCCGTGCCGCAACGGTGACATCGTTAACGGTAATTTCAACAATAACAATGACTTGCCCGACTTTGTCGATGCCACGCGCGTTCCCTCAGATCTCAACCACGCCGCGGCCGGCGCCGCACCCCGTCGACGGCCCCCGCCCCGCATGGACTCGGAGGAACTCTCCATCGCCATGTTCGAGCACTCCGAGAGCGGTGGTGCGGGGACGGGCAATATCCTGAAAAGTGGGATTGGTCGAGACCGAAGTTTCGAACGAGATCATGGACATAGTCTGGATCTTCCGCCCACGGGACACTCGAACGGCTCGCAATCGTGGAGTGGGGAGACACAGACGAATAACTCCGCCACGGAGCGGGAATTAAGTCCGTTGGACTTTACCAAGCCGTTTGGAAGGCAGGATAGTAGGAGTAGTTTCTAAGCTGCTATGACGATGATGATATTGATGATGATTATGGTTTGATGAATTGATGATTGCTTTTTTGTACAGTACTGACAACCCTTCTGACTACTAACATTGTGTGTGCAATAGTTAGTTGTTGTGGTTTGGTTTGGTTTGGTTGCCTTAGCGGAGATACCCGATACGATACCCACTTTTGATTATCTTTACTTTTTAACATTTGCCGTGGGTGGGAATCGATCCATGGGACGGCGTTTATCTTTCTTTTTCACATTTCTGAACTGAGTATATATTTATATAGTAAAATACATAACTGAAATTACACAAATAGTCAACTTCGGTAAAATAAGCCCATAAATGAGTTCTGTTAATTAGGGAAAGTAAAGCGACAACCGGTAACCGGCAACCGGCACGAAATCCCACAGTCGAAAAAAGTAAGTAGTATGGTGAGTGAGTCATTTCTCCCCACCAATCAGAAATTATCAAATTGGTTGATAATCTCACTGGCCCAACACGGAGTAAAGTAGTAGTGTAGTTGGTAAATGGTTAGGGTTAGTAATTACCCCTCATTTCTCCATGAATGATAATCATTGATTCAGAGAGATGGAGAGTTTGTGTGTCCACTTGGTTTCCGTTCTTGTTTCTTGTGCTATGGTACACTTTACCTGTTTTGGATTGCGGGTTGAGTTGGTTTGGTTTGGTTTGGGTTGGGAGGGTGTTCACCGACTTTTTTTGTGTGAACTGGGTTGGTGATGGATGTGGAGGTGGGAGGTGAGGTGGATGGATGGATGTTGGGGGTAGGTTCTTACTTCGGTGGTTTTGGGGTTTTGGGTTTGTATTTGGTTTAAGGTTTGGTTTCTTTGTTTGTGTGGGCTGGTGGGTAGGTTGTTGGTGCTTGGTTAATTTCACATAGGTAGAGTGGTAGGTATGGATGGTGTGGTGGGTGTGATTATATAGGCTTTTGGACACATCCACCACAGTGGATTAGAGTAGTACCTTCGCAGCAGCATGAGGAAAGGAAGATGTTAGATACTTTCTTGTGTTATAGATCTAACACCCTCACAGGAGAGCTCGAAAACGGGAGACTTGCCAGCAACCTATCTCATTGTATGAGCTCGGACATTCTAGCTCGTACGTAGATCCCTCAACCAAAGTTTACCCTCTCCATATAGTCTAGACCAGAGTGAAGTTCCGATAATCAGGCGACGCAGCAATCCAGTCATGAAGCTCGACTGCACCTATAGCCACTCGCCGACTGAGTCCATCTCGGGTTTCGACGATCAATACATTGACAACGAATTTCACCATAGTCTTTTCATCTGAGCCGAGGAAGCTTCCCTCGGAATCATACCACAAGCCCCATTCGTCTGGGAAGCGATAAGTATCGCATTTCTCATACATCATTGAGAGAGCAAGTACATCCACTTTGGTACAATGATCCGTGCTGTAATCATGGTCGAGAAATTGCCAATGGAGAGGGTTAGGCCGTATCCACAAGTCTACCTCGATTTCACTGATGCTGTGCAAGATTAGATGCACGTATCCTTCGATGGCAGGGCTTGGGCACTCTTGGTCTCCACGCTTGACAATTTGAGCATGGATTGATTGTGTATGTGATAGCAATGCTCCCGGCTGATCGGCATTTTCCATGTAGAATAAGCAAGACATTCTCTCGAAATGCATCTTCCCCGAGCTACTTGCTATCCCAAGTGCTTCCTCAATAAGCTTATTAGCTGACGCCCATCTGGACATAATTAGAGCCAATAAATTTTTCCAGGTGGTGCTGATATTCAGCATGGACGGCGATGGCTTTGGAAAGCAGCCTTCCTTCCACATCAATGCGATGCCAATCCCTTCATACGATTGAGGCTCATACCATGACGGTCTCGGATTATGAGACGGGATTATGTGCACCAATTTTTTAGTCTTCGAAGATGGGATGCCCCACGCACCCAGCATGATACCGGGCACTACAAACGAGCCTCTGCCTGCGCCTGAATAAACCTCAACGGGTGTTATCACAGAAGACCACGACCAGGTTGGAAATATATCACCGGTTTCTGTACTTCTGACCTCTGGCGTTTCGAGAGCAGAGAGTCCACGGGGAGACCAGAGCATCCCCCCCAAAAATTCAGAGTATGGTAGGCCAAAGTAATGCTCCGTGCCAAATTTCGAATGCATGACGCCAGATAATGCCTTGAGAATATCCGCACTGAAGGTAAAGTCTCTAGAAGTGAAGTCCTGCACTATACGATGGTATCGTTTGTTCTTGTTGAACAATAATAACCTATATTCCTCTTTCGGCCTTCGGGCAAATCTATCTTCCTGATAACCTTGTGAGCACTCAAAATATACACCTACATTTGCAAACATCAGCATTCTTGGCGACAACATTGCCTCCTGAAATATCCAGCCGCGGGAATTCCATTTTGATTTCTTGACGAGCTTGGGATATTCTTCATCTATGATTCTTAGGCTCATCCCTGGTATCTTATAGGTCATACGGACTGCTCTTGCTTGCGAGACCCCGGGGAGACCGTGATCCATGTTGGCGCCTTCTAAATCCACTAATGTAAGGTAAGAATGGCTGTATATATCACCCATGGCATTGATCTGTGAATTTTTCACGGCAGCAGTGTCGTCTTGCACAATGCACAGTCTGTCGATCCAGAGGTACCGTATCTTCAATTCGATGCAGGCACGGATGCTATCCCTAATAGTCGCCGGTAGAGGTTGCTTAAATAGGTAGCCTTCTTCCTCCAGTGCTCGGATGTTGCTTGTTGTTGCCAATGCATAGTTGTCAGCAGTGCCACCCCACACGTAGCTCAAGGTAGCATATCTGCAGGCAGGAGGAGCCATTACTACGCATCCTCTTTTAGTGTCAATAACTCGAAACTCGCGTGGCGGTGTTTTTAGGGGCCCATTGTCGCATGAAATTTCTCCATGCCTTTGGTGATGCTTTTTGTAATGCTTTATGTCACACTGTCTTAACCATGTGTGAACGGTGCTCCAGTTCACCATCGGCTGCTGCCATATTGTTCGTTTGGCAAGAGCACAAACTACCGCTTGGGAAGAATCAAAAACCCCACCAAATGAGCCTCTTATATCATCTAACTCAACTTATCAGCCTAGCTTACGCTTAAACCAATGATAGAGTATTATACTAACCACCTGTCTGGACTTGTATGTTCACATCGATACCCTTGTACTCAAGGTCAAAATCAAGTTCCAGGCTACAATGCGACTCAGGATTGCACTCCTCTAAGCACTCTTGGACAATCATGCGACACAATACACAGCTTTCAGACCGTTGATGTACTTCCTGAAGCTCCCCGAGGTCCACCTTAAATTCGACCAACGTCCGTTTATGTCTGAGGTGGCACAGCCTGAGATGCTTGCAAACATCACAGAGAGAAATATCAGAGACATCATCGCATCTAGCGCAGGGCTCGTGGAAGTAGGAATGCCAAAGATATATAAATTTCCGGTTGTGTTGCCAATTGAAAAGATCACGACGGTACAAGTCAACCCATTCAAAACACCGACACAAGGAACATGTTCTAGCCACATCAACGCCAGGGTGGTTCGCGTCCCTATTCTTGCCCGTAATGCCTATTCGACAAGACAGACCACGCAGTAGTCTTGACATGTTCTGAAGGAACTAAGACTCCTAAGAGCGAAATTGCAACAAGCTGTAGCAGGCAGAACGACTGTAGTGTCGGTTGTGAGGAGGCTGGGGTGGAGTTTATCTCCATTTCAATAGAGTCCCCCCCTGCTGAGTTGGCAGAGCTGAAAGACAGGGATCTGCCTCAATGCATGAACCCCCACCTTTTAGGCGCCTGCGTGGGTGATCGAGCTAATCAAATCGCATCATGTGGCACTTGCGTGCTTAGTGCTGAATGGATCATCGACTCGAACGTAAGCATCGTGGATGAGCTGAAAGGTCTCCAAAGGTGCTTGATGCTATTTTGATGACTTGCTAGTCATCGTAAGTGGAGGATATTGAAGAAGGTGAAGATGTGCAAGTCTTCGAGAATTATGGAGGAGACGAGAGGAAGAAAAGAGGAAGGTGTAGTCCATTGGATCACCTGATTCAACTGTCAGATAGACTGTTTCTAGCATAGTATCCCCACCCCAATAGACATGGAATGTGTCGGTATCAGCGATGCCTTTGGACTGGCATAGCCTCTGTCTGTACCTTACTTATGCGTTGCTTCCAAGTGCCTCATATGCACGCAGTGTTATCACAACCTTCCTTTTGAAACTACTCCCACTGTTTACCACACAATCTAAGGCCAGAACAAGCTGCTGAACTAGTGGTATCATCTACTTCATCCGTGTAGTTATGAAAATAACTCATTAACAAGTAATATGATACAGTCTCAATTTCTGTATTCACCAATCAAACAAATCATGAACGCCTTGCATACGATGCATCCCAGCGCCTACAATTTCACAAGAATCAAAGTCCCGCAGACACCAAGCCAGACCACTAAATACACGGCAGCCGCCAAAGAAAAGAAGCATCACAAGAAATGTCGCAGTAAGTACCATGCGTCCAACGCTCAGAAATGCAATCATTGTAAGTTTCATTCAATTTAGCCACGGTTCTTCGGCTGCGCCAGCATGTTCAAGCGGCTGACGCTCAACACGCCCCGGTTGCGTGCGCGCACACTAGCCGGGGTGCTGATGCGTGGAGTGCTCATGCGGCTGGTCGTCGCCGATCGAAGGGGAGTGTGCGAGCGAGGCTTGGTGGGGCTGGGAGTCGCGGCTTTGATTGGGCTAGGGGCCGCAGCCTTGCGGGCACTCAGAATGGGCGCCTTGATCGGTGAGGGCGATGTCATCTTCATTCGTTTAGCACTGCGCGCGTCCGCGGTTGTGTCGACAGGCGGCACATTCTCGGTGTCGGTCTCATCCTCGAGGGCAGCGCGGTTTCTCTTCTTCTGACCGATGCCGTGAGGGACACCCGCGACCTCAGGGAGATCATTAGACTTGGTGTCTTCACCACTCTCACGGGTCCTCTTCTTGTGGCCGATTCCGTGCGGCACGCCTGCAACCTCAGGCAGAGGGTTGGCATGGACATCTGATGGGCGGACATGGCGGATGGTTGGGGTTGTCGCTTGGGCGGGAGACTTGGCGCTGACCCTGTTCTGCTCCGGAGTCAACACCGGCAGGGTGGGATAGACAACGTCGGAAATGGTCCGCGATGGACTGGCAACCGGAACCTTGGATGGAGACGGCGAGAACATAACCTCCTCATGGCGGGCCTTCACACTAGGAGTGAACTCTACGCGTTTCTTGGGCGACGGCGTCTGTGCAGGTTCCTCGGTTGTGCCTCGCGATCCGAACAGCAGGTTCGAGGTAAAGTCTGGAGCCGCTACATGGGTGCCCGCGGCAATCTTAGCAGGATCCTTGGAGAACAAAGGCTGGTGGCGGCGGAGGATCGATTTCAGGTTACCCAAAGTAGGCAAGTTACTCTTCAGCCGAGGGTTGAACTCTGTCTGAGGCGTGCGCGGCACATCGGCCGGCTTCGCGGCTGGAGACCGGACGAGCGACGGGATCATCGAAGTGCGGGGCGGCTTTGCAGTGACGGACGAAGCACGCGCCGCAGAGGACCGCGTCGGGGTCATCAACGAGCTGCGCACTGTAGATCTGGGCCGGGGTTGCACAGGCTTGGGAGGGCTGGCCGCAGTGGGACGACGCGTCGACGCATCATCGGCCTTGTCGTGCTTCACGCGTTTGTTGCTAGCAGGGGCAGCAAGGGCAGGTGAAGGACGTGCAATCTTGGATGGCGATGGCGAGTTGCGGTCCGAATCGTCCAAACGCGCCTTGGAGTTGGTTCTCTTCAATGTCTTGACCACTGGCTGGAAGCGTCCCGGGGTGGCACGGAAAGCCGACGCGTGACCAGCAATGGAGTCCATCTTCTTGAATTCGGCCATGTGCACGTCGCTGAAGCGGCTGGCCTTGCCCTTGGGCTGCACGATCTTCCGATCCGCTGCCTCGGCGCGGTTCTGGTCGGGTTCCAGGGTCATTTGGGCTTTGATCTTGGCAGCATCCTCGCGCACGGTCTCCATGAGCTTCTTCGCCTCATCACTGAGCTGCGAGTCGCAGGAGAACTTAAATTCGAACGCGGGGGTGCCGTAGTAAGGAGCGGGTGAGGCCTTGGCTTTGGTAGGGGTGTTGTCGGCGAGAGTGTCTTTGATCACTTTGCCTTCGGCGTCCTTCTTGATGGGCTTGAAGCCCAGGATCAGACCGGAGTCTGCCTGTTTGGTGGTGCTCTGGCGGACCTTGCTGGGGTGCATTTCTTGGTGGGACGGACGCACGAGGGTGCTGGAGGGGGTTCTGGTGGGTGTGCTTTTGTGGACGGGCGTGCTTCTGTGGACGGGTGTGTTCTTTTGGACTGGCGTATTTCTGTTGACAGGCGTGCCCTTAAGAGTTGGGATAGATTTCTTAGGAGTCGATAGCTTGGAAGCAAGTTCAGGTATAGCCTTGGTAGTAGGTCTCTTTTCAGTCTCAGCAGCGGCGGGTTCAGCCATAGCCTTGGGAGTAGGTTCCTTTTCAGTCTCAGCAACGGCAGGTTCAGTCGCATCCGTCTTGGACTGAGACTCAGCGATCGCCGGAGTCACCTCAGCAACAGGCTCTTTAACTTCAACCTTGGACTTTCTCTTAGACGCGGTCTCAGTCTTGGTCCTCTTCCGCGACCGCTGCACGGGGGCATCCTTAGCAGCATCAGCTGGCTCCTCGTGCTCCACGACGGGAGGCAATCTCTCCGGCTGTTTGCCGAGACGAGCCATGGTTGTGTCGATTTCGGACGTGTTCTCGGGGTTGTTGTGATTGTTCGTGTCGCAGGGAGCGTTGTTGTTAGTGACGACGGGGTCGGCAGGGGCCTCAGGCTCCTTAAGGTCGAGTCAGTGAATGTCATGCAAGGGCGCGAGCAGCCCATCGGAATGGAGGCTGAGTGGGATGGGTGGTGTGCTCACCTCGGTGGCCTGGCGGCTGCGCAGGCGGGCGGACCGTCGAACCGCCATGGTGGTGTGCAATGTATATCGGGTGACGTTGGAATTGGGTATCGAGATGTCGAAGAATTGGATTGTGTGGGGGGATGGATCATGAATTAAATGAATGCAGGGCGAAGGCGAGATTCAAGAATAAACAAACACCCGCAGGCGGTGAGCTGACGTCAGGGCTTAGCTAAGCGTGTTGTGCTGTGCATGAGCTAGTTATCACATTAACTATATCGTCCATCACCATTAATTTAAAACACTATCTACTTTTACTCCTTACAGTCCATTTTACCAATACTTACAGTCTACTCTACAATCCAAATGGATACGTCTCCTCCGTACCCATCGCCGTCCGCGGCTGCACCCGCTCCAACGGCTTGACAGCCTCGGTGCTATCAAACCAGACATACGCATCGAACTGGTTCTGCAGATCAGCCTGCGAGTAATGCGACATGCGCTCAGTGTCAGGCCGATAAATGACGCCAATAAATCTCTCCAGCCGCTGATCCTCCGCAGCCATGAGGCTCCTCAACTCTGGACTCATCCTAGTCGGCCTCAAATCCAACAAGAAGCTCTCAATTCCCGTCTGATGTGCCAACCACTCCCAACTATCCGGTCTCGACGGCTTGACCTTCATAATCTCCATATCCTCATCCCACTCATGCGCAGCCGCCACAGTTCCGGTATGTGTCCCACAGCCGATCAGCGCAACCTTATCCCGACCGAACTGCTCGCGACATAGTTGCCCGATATTAACCTCATTGCGCCGACTGCCCATACTCGTGTATCGCGCATCCCCGCAATGCGAATTATGCGCCCACACCACGGCCTTACTGCCGGGAGGCTTGTGACGAAGGATACGCCGCAGCGTATCCACCATATGTGTATCGCGCAACGTCCATGACGACGCAGAGCTATAATACATAGCCTTGTAGTATCTCTCTGCGTCACGCACTAAATACGCATTCTGCTGACTACTATGCGACTCTTCGCCATTATGCGGGTCCTCCTCCGCATACTGCAGTCGTTTTCGCAGCAGATCGCGTAACATGTCCACGACTCCCTTTTCGCAGTCCGCCAATCCGCGCAACGCCGCGAGTCCGTATGCCGTCGGATCATCCACCCACGGCTGCAAACAGCCATAGCGACGACGCGCCAGTTTTCCTGCCTCTGGGTCCAGGCGGTCGAGGTAATCTACGACGGCGCGGATGGACGCGCCCATGCTGTACAAATCGAGGCCGTAGAACCCCGCCTTCTGGTGATCAGGTAGATTGGCGTTGTGATCGCGCATCCACTCGACTAGGTCTTGCATTTCGCGATTGCGCCACATCCAGGTTGGAAATCGCTGAAAGGGCTCGTCCTTTTCATTGGTGAGATGGGCTTGGGGACCGGGGCGTTGGCGCACGTAGCGGTCGATAGCTTCAGCGTCAGGCCAGTCGGCTTCGACGGCGACGATGGTGAAGCCATGGTGCTCGATGAGACGCTTTGTGATTTCGGCGCGGGCGGCGTAGAACTCGGAGGTGCCGTGGCTGCCGTCGCCGAGGAGGACGACGCGGTAGTTGGCGAAGCTGTCGAAGTGGGAGGCGAAGTTGGGGTCGTGGATGGGGGGGAGGGGACGGGCGGCGGTGGCGAGGAGGTTTTGAAGGGACATATTCTTCTTTCTTTTGGAAAGGAATTTGAACATAGATTATACCAGGACGGTATGTATGATACTGTGGTTAGTCCATGATGGTTGTAGTTGATGAGTATCGGGATGTACGAGACGGCAGTATAATAGATGTGATTAGGGTTAGATGAGATCACCTCCCGCTCATGATGACTTCACTGCATATAGACATCAAGCATACAATAACTGAGCTCTTCTGCCGAACAAATCAATTCATGCCATGCTAGTTTCAGTATATACTCCAACTCAGACTTGACCCTAGCAACTTACCATTCTCACCCCACACCACCACTATATACACCCAACCCTACCTACACCTACATTCACATCCATACCCACCCATACTACCCTCACCACCATCCCATCTATACAACCATCATGCCCCCTCCGACCCCCACCCCCCAAACCCTCACCCTCTTCCTCCGCGCCCAAACCACCCTCTACGGCCCCTCCATAACCACCACCCCCTCCCCCAGCACCTGGACCCCACCCCCCTCCTCCGGCGGCCACCTCGGCCGGTACCTCTGGACAGACGCCATCGGCGTCCTAAACTTCCTGACCCTACACCGAATCCACCCCAATCCCCCCAGCGAAAACCACTACCTAACGCTCGCCTCGCGCCTCATCACCTCCGTGCACAACACCCTGGGCCGAGCACGCGATCCTCCCCACACACCCCTCCCCGGTGCATCCCCATCCCACCCATTAGCAGGCGGCCTACGCATCGGCAAACCCTCCGCGGCAGGCCACGACTGCGACGGCCAATACCACCATTACCTGACGCTGTGGATGTTCGCGCTGAACCGGATGAGCGTGGCGAGCGGCGAGGGGAAGTGGAATAAGCTGGCGGTGGAGTTGGGTAGGGCGATACATCCGCATTTCTTCATCAAGGGTGTGGATGGGAGGAGGTTGGATCGGATGGTGTGGAAATTGGATACGGAGTTGAGGAGGGTGCTTGTGGGGAGTGAGGGGAATTTGGACCCTGTGGATGGGTTTGTGGTTTTTAGGGTGGTTAGGGCTTATGAGTTGGCCTGTGGCGGGGATAAAGGGGTGTTGGAGGAGGAGATTGAGGATTATAGGAGGGTGATGAGACGGAAGGGGAGGCAGAGGGTTAGTGATGATTTGTTGGATTTGGGGATGGGGTTGTGGACGGCGCATCTTGTTGAGGGGGAGGAGGAGGAGTGGGCCGGGGAGTTGTTGGGGAGGGGGGTTGAGAGGGTTTGTATGTCTCTCTCTCTTTCTCTCTCTTTCTTGTTCTATTCATGGTGTGGATGGTGGTGGCTGACGATGGGTAGATGATCTGTTTGAGATTAAGCACTATCTACAGCGTGATCCGCGGTATCGGTTGGCGTTCAGGGAGTTCGGTGCCGCGATGGGGATTAAGTGTGTTGCGGAGCAGCTGGCCGAGAAGGATACTGCGGTTGATTTGAAGGTGTATGCTGATCAGATTGTGGATTTCTGGGCCCCGTATATGGCTGGGGAGGAGGAGGATGATATTGAGGATTTGAGGCCCATTACGCAGGTGATGTATGCGGCGGCGTTGATTCCGGGAGGTGAGTTTATTCCAGTTCTCTTGAAAGGTAGTGATTGGGCTGATTGGTGCGTAGCTTTCTGTCGGGGGTTCTTCGAGAACGAGCCTGTTATACCGCCAGTGCTAAATGTGTATTAAGGTAAGAAATGTATTCATCGTGTACTATACTCTACACCATCTATCATGCCGTAATCATATCATGTATACTCAAACACCCGGCAAGCCTACCACATTCCTCCACGGCAAGACCCGTCGAGGCAAGATGTAGATCGTATAAACCGTGCCGAGGGCGATCAACAGCCCCGTCAACTACAATCATCAGCATCATCGTCATCATCATCACTTCACCCCCAATCAGACAGCAACATACCTTCTCAAACCACGTATGGAACCAAATACCCGTCATCAACAACATCCACCACCCCAACCCAGCAACCGCCCAAGCAAACCTGCCAGACCAAACCCTCACAACATCCACCTCCTCACTCACCTCCTTCTCCGCCTCCCCATTCCCATTCACATTCACATTCACACCCCCCTTCCCCCAACCCTGACTCCCCCCGACCAACTCAAACACAACCAACGACGTCGCCAACACCAACAAAAACACATGTCCACTAACATCATGACCACCCCTCCACGCCCCACCGGCATGTTTACACGCCGCAGCCGTCAACAGCGTCTTAACATCCGCCGCGGCGGGCTCGTTCTCCGCCAACGGCACCGCCCGCTCACACTTCCCGCCCGTCAGCACAAAGCTGCGATCAATAATCGGCGGGCCGAAGAACCATTGCGTCGTGAGATACCACACTGTCGTGGCGAGGGCGTAGCGGAGGACGGCCTGGCCAGTGCGTCGGGCGCGGTGACTAGCGGCGAGGGTGTAGGCGGGCTGGGAGAGCAGGATAAAAGCGAGAGCAGCGGTGGTCCAGAGCCAGCCGACTTTGACGAAGTATAGATTGAAGATGTTGTCTTTGCGAGCGAAGTAGTTGACGGGGCGCGGCGGAGGAAAGGAGAGGTTGAGGTCTGACGCGATGGACGGGGCTAGGGGCTCGACGTGTGGGTGGAGGGTGCTGGAGCCGTCGTCGCGTGTGCCTTGTGCGGTGGGAGAGAGGACGGAGAAGAGTGAGCCCACGATTAGGGTCGCTGGGTAGATGAGGAGCGCTGTTATGGGTGGTTGGAAGGGTCGTATCGCTGGGGCTGGAGGGTCGGGAGAGGGCATGGTTGCTCGTGTGTTCAGGCTGGTGTAATTATGTCGTTGTCGTGGTGTTTATGTTGAATAGGAGTAGAGTGTTATAGTGATCGGCTGTTGTAGGGGCAATTGGCAATGGTTTCTGGATTAAGCGGAGGAAGAAGGCTGAAGATGAAAAGAAGAAGACTGGCGAAGTCGGCAGCGGATGACGTCGCTTGGTTTCCGCCCCAACTAGCGCCACTCTTCCTACCATGTGTCGGCATCGCTTGTTTCATCATCTACACGCTACTACGCAATACTCGTTCTACATCTACAGTGGTCTTGTTATTGGCATAAATCATTAATTCATATACCACGGCCATCATGGTATGCCATTTAAGAGCTATTTAGTGAACAGTAGGCAGAGACGCCCGGAGCGGCAGCTTCCGCGAGGAGCTTCCGACAAACACCATCTTGGGATACGACGTAATCTCCCAGTCCTGCTTCTCAACATTCCAGTTTGCAAGGTCACGGCGCGTCAGAGTCGTGCTCCACTTCGTCTCCTCCGACGGCTGCAGCGTGATGCGCTCGAATTGACGCAGCACGATCTTGGGCTCGTTGGGACCGCCAAGCGAAACATACTGCGACTGATTAGCTTTGTTCAACCTCGTTCGGACCTCATGTTTACTTACCAGTTGGGGAACTTCATCACCAGCAACCTTGCCGGTGTTCTTGATGGTCACTGACACGCGGATGAGCTCGTCGTACAGGCGAGGGTTGCCGCCAGGACCGCCACCAGCAGGCAGGATCGGTTGCGCAGAGCCATCGGTGGCTCCCTCTGGAAGATAGTCCGAGGAGTCCTGCCCGTAGCTAGCATCCCCGGAAGATGCCTCGAGATCGGTACCGTTGAGCCAGGGGTAGATGAACTTGGTAATTCTCTGCAATCCGCTGGGGTAGAGGTAATCCGACGCATTTCCAACCTCTCCGAAGGTTGGCGCTGCCTCGGTCTCACCCGAAGCAGGCTCGTATGCAGGGGCGCTCAGCACCTGCACCTCAAGGTTCGAGTAGTTGAAAGTGGTGTAGCTTAAACCATAGCCGAATTCGTAGATCGGGGTCTCGTTGCGCTTGTCAAATCCACGGTAGTCAATGAAGACGCCCTCGACGAAGTCTTCCTGAGGGGCTCCGTTGCCGTTGTTGGGCTCGGTGACCAAGTAGTCTTGGTAGGCCTCACGAGTCTTGCCCCAGGTAAAGGGCGACTTGGCACCGGGGTTGACACGGCCATAGAGGACGTCGGCAAGAGAGTTGCCAGACTCCTGACCGGGCAGACCACCCCAGAGGATAGCGGTAACATTGGGGTTGTCGTACCATTCGTTAACCAAGACTGGGCCGACAGAGTGAATGACAACAATGGTGTTGTTGCAGTTGCTAGCAGCAGCCTTGATCACATTATCGCCGTTCCTCCACAGGGTCAGGTTCCTGCGGTCACCCAGGTTTCCGTCCACATTGATGTAACCCTCGCCAGAGTCGGCGTTGACAAAGACAAGAGAGACACTAGCATGCTGTCAGCATCCATAGTACAAGAAAAAAAAATTGGAGATCTTCTTACCTGGCGGTCTTAGCAAGCGCCTCAATTTGATCGATAGCCCAGTTATCGGTGGCGGTGAATACACCATTCTTGTGCTTAAGCACCTCGTTTGAGATGGCCTGCTCGGGGGTCACCAAGTAGGGGAAGTTGGCAGTACCACTTCCCCAGCCCATCGCCAATGTTCCATTGTCGCATCCACGGTCACTGCAGCCGTTGGCACCATAAGGGTTGGAGCCCGCATCTTCTCCGATAAGCGCGACCAGGCGCTCCTTACCAGTCAAAGGCAGAGCGCCGTCGTTCTTGAGGAGCACCGTGCTGTCCGCTCCAATGCGGCGAATCAGTTCGCTGTGGTTGCGTTGCACGTTCACGTACTGGTTGACCTTCTCGTACGGTCCCTCCGACACGTAGTAGTACTTGTAGCCGTATTCATCTCTGGTCCATGAGCTGAAGTTGGGAGGAGTCCACAGACGGTCACGTCCGACCTTGTAGTAGGCGGCCATGATGCGGACAGCCATGTCATCAACACGCCATTGGGGCACCGTTCCGTTGAGCACGCTAATGGTCAAGTTTGTACCCCAGTAAGACGTACCACTGTCGTAGTCGACGTCTCCTGGCATAGACATATCCAATCCTGCCAAAGCACCACTCACACCAGCATGGTGAGCAGCCCAATCACTCATGACAAAGCCCTGGAAGCCCAGCTCGGCCTTGAGCAGCTTGTTCAGAGTGTAGCTGTTCTGGCAGCCATAACTGTTGTTGATCTGGTTGTAGGAGCACATCACAGCGCCAGCACCTGCACGGATAGCATCCGCGAAGGGCCAGAGGTACAGCTCGTGCATAGTCTTATCGTCGAGGTTCGCACTTCCACTCTCGGAAATATTAAATCCATAACCTTGGGCTTCAGGCGCCTGACGGAAATGCTCTTGCTCGTAAGCAATGTAGTGCTTAGCCGTCGCAACCACACCAGCATCTTGGATACCCTTGATGGTCTCGGCAAAGAGCACACCACTTAGGGCAGGGTCTGGGGAGAAGCCCTCCCAGTTACGACCACCGTCGGGACTTCTACCGAGAGGGCCGGCAGCTGGACCCAATTGGATATCGGCACCCTTGTCACTAAATTCCTGACCCATAGCCTTGCCGCGAAGGTATGCCAGATTCTTGTCCCAGGTTGCAGCCACGTTCATGCCGGCAGGGAAAGCAGAGTTGTAGTCGGCTGCGCCGTGTCAGTAAGAGCATCGAAGCCTAACAACAGCAGATGGCTTACAGTCGCGAACGCCCAGAGGGCTATCCTGTAAACACATTCCCGGAACTCCCAATCTGTCACCGTTAATCAATAAATGTCCCCTGTCTCGACAATATTTTCAAACCTACCGGGGAACACCGCCAGTCTGACCAACACATAGTTCCAATTCCCATCTAGAAGTTGTTAGCCGGAGCATACAGATTGCGCCATGTAAGCCCTACCCAGTTCCTGTGGTCAGATTGACCTTCTCATCCAATGTCATTTGCGAGACAATATCAACAGCGCGCTGGTATGCCTGCGCCCAGTCGCCCTGGCCATTGGCCCAAGGGGATGGGTAATACGGTGGGGAGTAGGCCAATTCATCCTATGAAATGACCATTGTCAGCGATGATGAAACAAACAAATGAATCTAATTAAGCACAATTGCAATTCTCAGGACAAAGTAACGGCACGTACAGCGCTGGCCAGCGAGACGGCAGTCAGAGCCACCGCCTCGATCAAAGTGAACCTCATGATGGCAAGGTCGCCCAAAGGGGGAGCAAAACAAACCAGGTGAGCAACCGTGCAACACCTGTCCAATGGAGAGACTGGAGGTTTAGGGAGGACAGAAACGAAAACAGCGAGAGAAAGGGGAGCTGGGCCATATTAAATAGTTTGAGCGCCACAAAGTGACCGTCCGCCACGGCATGCGAATTGAGGAACCCAACGATGATGTATGCCAGTGCAGCTGTCTCCGCAAAGCTACCCACTCATGCAATTCACAGTCCCGCATGCAGTGTCAAAGAGAGACACGCTAAGCATGGGCGATGGATGTTTGGTCCGGTATGCTGATCGACGTGGGATGTCCCGATTGGGAGACTGGGTGGAACAAGCCAGTAGACCGGCCCTGGAGGAGTCGGAAATTAGGCAAGCAAGGCACTGTCGGAGAAGCTGGAAGGAGCTCGAGCGATGATGCATTCGGGCCGGCAGAGCCATGTACAAACTCTACATCGGTTGGCAAAAGAGGTCGGAGGGTCAGGTGAGGTTGGGTTGACCGGGGTAAGGATTATTCCTAGCCTATAGACCAGCACAACATGGGGAACGGCGTCCGTGGTCGACGCTGGGACAAGTCTGGAGCCCCGCTTCCTTTGACCATTTTTAGT